GTTGAAAAGAGTTACATTTTGTGTCATGATACTTGAAAGAACTACATTTATGTACTTGGGAAACAAAAACATGAGTTTTGAGCAAAGGAAAATATTCTCGCAAATGGGCCAAACCTTTTTCTCGCCCATGGGCGAAATATTTCAATATCGCTATAGGTTGAAAAGAGTTACATTTTGTGTCATGATACTTGAAAGAACTACATTTATGTATTTGGGAAACAAAAACATGAGCTTTGATCAAAGGGAAATATTTCGCCCATGGGCCAAACCTTTTTCTCGCCCATGGGCGAAATATTTCAATAACGTCGTACAATAGTTGAATTAAACTAAAATGAGTTAAATTATGTTTCATGAAACTTGTAAGAACATCTGTATATATTTGGGAAACATGAACATGAGTTTTGAGCAAAGGAAAATATTCTCGCCCATGGGCCAAACCTTTTTCTCGCCCATGAGCGAAATATTTCAATAACATCGTACAATAGTTGAATTAAACTAAAATTAGTTAAATTATGTGTCATGAAACTTGTAAGAACACCTGTATGTATTTGGGAAACAAAAACATGAGTTTTGAGCAAAGGAAAATATTCTCGCCCATGGGCCAAACCTTTTTCTCGCCCATGAGCGAAATATTTCAATAACGTCGTACAATAGTTGAATTAAACTAAAATGAGTTAAATTATGTGTCATGAAACTTGTAAGAACATCTGTATATATTTGGGAAACATGAACATGAGTTTTGAGCAAAGGAAAATATTCTCGCCCATGGGCCAAACCTTTTTCTCGCCAATGGGCGAAATATTTCAATATCGCTATAAAATCGTTGATGGGCCATGTGTAAATATTGAGTTTTTGAACAATTTAAAAAAAATAAATTCTTCCTTAGTATGTTCCCATGAAAACAGCATGTTTAATTTTGTAAATACCTTTGACCGAGACTGGGCAAAGACCGTTGAGTTTCTGGACTATTGGGTTTCCAGAATTAAAATGGGACGTGTTATTATATTAAGGGCTGGGCGGAAGGGAAAATAGTATGGTTCAAGGACTGTGAGACAGACAAGTTGCGAGTTTTGTTTCTTTGCTACCTTGCATGAGAAATGTTTTTTTATATATTTTGTTTTACGATTATTGAAGAGTTCGATCCTAGTTGCGAAGGACTACCTCTTACCCGACATATTATTCATATCTTCGAAACAGAAACAGTCGCGATGGAAATCCTCTGTAAAATCTTCCCAGATGTAACGTTGTTCAGATTGTGAGGCACTGGCAAAATATGAGCTGCTCTTGATAATGTTGATTAAAACTTGATACAACGGACTATACAGATGTTGTTGTTTTTTATTAAAGAGGAAAAGGTTAAAGGTTGAATGTTTATCCTTTCTGACACATAATATTCACATTGTTCAAACTCTAGATACTGAACTTTGCTGTTTTGTAGATGAACAACTTTACAAAACTAAGTTGGAAATTAAGAGATAGTTGTCACAGAAACGGAATCAAGTGCTGTTCTTGGAATACCAGATTCCAGATGGGTATGTCGACTCTGTTTTGTGCAGATTGGTTGGAATGCCGTTAGTTATGTAACATTTCTAAAATAATCCCAAAATCGAAGAATATATTAACTTGATAATATTTAATTTTAATGTGTACTCTCTAGTTTAAAACAGTTTTATACATGTGACACTCTGAACTGCATGCATGTTTATCTTTGTGTGACACAAATAATGGGGAAGGAATGTATATCTCTACCATCGCTGATTATCAGTAGTCGCCTTCCTATGTCAGGAGGCAGTGCTGGAGGCTCAGGCCAGCAACACATAGATGGAATATTGCTGAGTGCTGCGTAAAACAACAAACAGGCAACAAAAGCCAATTGTTTTCTGTTTTAGTGCTGTGCTATTAAGTACTTGATTTGCTATTTGCTATTAATACTTGACATCTGGAAACTTTATAAATGTATGCCAAAACTGAACAGGAAAAGTAGAATGCTGTAAAAATGTAAGGTTGGTTGGTTGGTTTGTTGTTTAACGCCGCACTAAGCAATATTCCAGCTATATGTGTGTTAATATTTAACGTCACATCGGCAGTATTGCAGCCATATCGTGATCCAGCTATATGACGGCGGTCTGTAAATAATCGAGTCTGGACCAGAAAATCCAGTGATGAATATCATGAGCATCGACCCACGCAATTAGGATCGATGACATGCATCAACCAAGACGGCGAGCCTGACCACCCGATCCCGTTAGTCGCCATTTACGACAAGCATAGTCACCTTTTACGGCAAGTATGAGTTGCTGAAGACCTATTCTACCCCGGATCTTCACGGGTCTAAAAATGTAAGAGACTGATTTGAGCCCAACGAGGTATAACCTGAGGTTTGAGTGAGTGTTTTGGGCCATGTAGAGTGGAGTGATCTGAGCCAAGGCTGAAGCACTATCGAGGTATGACCATACAAACCAGCATATATGATAAAGACAAACACTTACTATCCCTTTGAAGATGGAAAGCTTTTAAATACGTGCACATATTATAAAACATGTTTTTTTTAAATATAAATTTGGCCCTGATTAATTTTTTAAACTATTGAAAGCAGGATACATTCTACCACCAAACGTCCATAATATGCTTTCAGCGATTGAATGGTTCATGTATATTCAGAAAGACAACTGTTCATGGTCCACACCCTATTTCAGGATGTGGGAAGATTGTTCCAAAACTATCAGTCAATTCGGTTTATTTCGTAAGTGTAGGCCATCGGCCCATAGTTACATTTGTATTACAATGGACGTGATGTACACAGCTGTTATTGTTGTGACAATAATGTACTACGAAGTGACATCCCTTGATAGATATAAATAGCTAGACGTTCAATTAATTTACAATCAGTTGTATGGTCGGATATTCATAAAATGTTTGTGGTAAGTGATCCATGCGTAGCTTGTTATAACCGGAGCAAACTAACAAAAAATGATACTCGTCCTCCACATAACCAGCATTACAAACACAACATAGTCTTCTGTTACGTGGGATATCAGCATATCTCCCAGTTTCAACACACAGCTGATGCGAAAAACATCTAAACCGAGCTAGCGCCACTCTCAATTTACTGACGGTCACACAGCTAAGATACAACTCTGTACCAAACGATACCTTGAATAGAGAATACGAGAAAGATTTACTACCCTTTACCAGAAGACTATGCCAATCCTGTTCATAACTTCATTTCAGACGCGACATAAATTCTGTCAAAAACGAATGAGGATGACTTATACACTGGTTTTCCCATACAGAGCCAAAACCCAAACAGAACAATAAAGATTTACATTTTGATACCTAATTAATTTTACCATTACTTTCTACCATCATATAATAACATTTCTTTCGAAAGCGACAATCGGACATACTCAATAACCTTATCCAATAACCAATAACTCTTTTGTATGCATAAATATATAATGGATACCGCCCACATTCACCTCGAACCATGTTGTTGGATGTTGACGATTTGACACTTAGAAAGCGCTTGCATGCCAATGCATGTATAGTTTCCATTTCATCATTCTGGTGTAGACCCCAGACCCCATAGAGCAAAATTGGGACTATTTTCATATCAAATATTTTAAAATATAAGTCATATCGAAGAGGATGTAATTTTATCAATGACTTTAAAATTCCAAACATTGCTTTTTTCCCCTGTAGACCAGCATTAGAAAAATGACTTGACCAGGACAGGCTTCTCGTAAAAGTAACGCCCAAATATTTATAGGAGGACACACACTCCAACTTTAGACCTTTATAGTACCAAATCTCTTTTCTTGACAACACGCCACCTTTCTTAAAAACAACCACTTTGGTTTTATCCAAATTGACATCTAGATCATAATCATTACAATATTTTTCTAGAACATCAATACGCTTCTGAAGTCCACCTATAGTATCTGCAATTAAAATGATATCGTCTGCAAATAATAACATGAATATCTCTGTAATATCAGGATGAAGTTGTATTCCTGGTCCAGAATTCTGTTCAACTTCAGCAGCTAGTTCGTTAATAAACATCGAGAATAAAAGGGGGCTTAACACACAACCCTGACGTACTCCTCTTGGACACTGAAACATTTCAGAAAATGTAAGTTTAAATTTAACACTGGCCTTAACAGCTGTATAAATAGACCGTATAGCTTTTATCATTTTGCCAGCGACACCATTATTAGCTATTTCTGACCATAATTTCATCCGGTTTACACTGTCGAAGGCTTTTGCAAAATCGACAAACAAACCATATACCCTACCCTAACGCTTAGTGATATATCTCTGGATAATACACTGTAATATAAAGATATTATCTATGGTGGAGTAATCATGACGAAAACCAGCCTGGGACTCTGCAATTATACCATAGACCTCACACCAAGACGTGACCCTTCTGTTCAAAATAGAAGCATACAACTTACTCAGTGCACTAAGGACTGATATACATCTATAGTTGTTATGTTATGTATTGGAACAATAATTCCCAAAGACCAAGATTCAGGAAAGTATGCATTATCAAACAACTTATTAAACAACACTGTAAGATACGGGACAAAAATATCATTCGCATATTTAAAAATTCTGAAATGAGGTGGTCATTTCCTCCGGATTTGTCAATTTTCAAAGAGTTGATGGCACAAAGCACCTCCTCTTGTGAAATGGGGGAGTCCAGAATATAGCAACTCATATCATGACTATCATTAATAGTCGTATCGGTGTTAACCATATCTTCATCTCTCGGATTGTCAAACACATCTTTAAAATGATCGACCCATTGTTCTAGTGATATGTTAAGTACACGACTTGCCGCACTCTGAGATTATGCTCGTATGGTAGACCAGAAACATTTACTATTTGGAAGACTAGATAAAACCTTATTACGCATACATTCTGCTGTCTCAACGGGAATCTCCAGGTCACGTGCTTGAAATGAACAAGATAGTGGAAGGTGTGAGGAAACTTACCTGTCGGCATACATGAAATGAAGATACTGTCCGTGAACTGATTTGTATGAATAACGTAGCGGCATTCAGACAAGGTGGTCTTCCCCAGCTGTTGCCACACACAGCTCTAACAAGATATTGATTGTGCAGTATACATCTCCGACAACTATTAATTTATATAACCAAGATTCAATGTTGTAGCGTTTGCAGCACATACAATCAGAATACAAATACCGCCAGTTAAGAAAAGCATAAATCTTGTTTGTTGTATGTATTTACGGAAAAAACAGTACTTCATAACAATTACCGAAAATACTCACAGTCGAACAATATTGTGAGTGTGTGAGTGAGTTAAAGCTTTACGTCACCAACAATATTGTGAAATTATATTGACAAGAGTATTACACTGCAAACACGAAAATGTCGTTTTTTCCCGTATATGGTCATTGGACGGAAAAACGACTAAAAATCATTAAAATTGATTAATTGGTTAGCGTCTAGAAAGTGTCCGGAAAAGCGTCGAGTTTTTCAAGCGTAAAATGGACGGAAAATCGATGCTTTTTGCTCCGCCTCGTACAACTGTTAACGGCCAATCAGATGGCGCTGGTCCCCCGATGCACGTGATGCCCAAGGCTTCCTTTCGGAAGCACTAGGTTTCGTATTTCTGGCATGCCTTGCTCTAGTATCTGTCGCGCACTAGTCCGCCCGCGAGTCCATAACGTTTTATGGTGAGCTCTTCTCTATAAGTGCTTAGTGTTCAACTCCCAGTTCCAAACACGTTGTACCTCATCAACAATCCACATTTCTCTAGTGCAGTGATCGTCCGGAAGATCTTCCTCTTGACCGTATTAGACAACTGACGAGTTCACGCCTGACCTGTGACCTCGTTACTACCCCCCATGAGGTGTTTGCAGAAGGGAGAGGGGCAGGAAATGTGTGCTCCAGCCCAGCGCGGAGCTCGCGACACACTGTATACTGCATGTTGTATACAGTATATTGCAGTTGATATACTGTATACTGCATGTGATACTGATTTGCGAAATAGCTTCAAGATTCAAGATTCAATTTGCATTTTTTCATATACAACAGACCGCCGTCAAATATCACTGGAATGCTGCTGAGAGCGGCGTTAAAACAATTTGTGCAACAGTGACGTCAATGTTTCTCCGGCGACAACGTGCCGGGCAGTGATGTATATATTGTATATGTTTTTGTGATTGATGGATGAGTATGTGGGCAGTGTTTGTATGTGATGTATGCGCACGTGATATTGAGTGGATGTGGTGAACTTCCATGTGTGATTGAAAATGAAATGTGTGTAATATTTATTTGTGTGTGTGTGTGTGTGTGTGTGTGTGTGTGCGTGCGTGCGTGCGTGCGTGTGTGTGTGTGTGTGTGTACTTTCGATTATGTTCGTGTATTATTCCTGCCAATTTATATAATGGATAATTTAATGATTTTAAGTGCCTCATAGATCCTTCATGGGTCGGCTGATGTTTTTATATATCATACGTATGTATACGTGTAATGTTTTTTATTGTCTTTAAACACCAGGTGGCACTGTAATAAAATAACTTCTTCTTCTTCTTCTTCTTCTTCTTTATATCACACGTTCGAGTATGATGGCAGACTCACAATATACATTGTAATATATAAACGTTGATTTTATATGTCACCATGTCACCATATCACACGTTCGAGTATAATGGTACTTGCGACAGAGATTTTCTTAAGAAAATACAGTAAAAGTGTTTGACTTTAAGGGACCAGTTTTCTTTAAATACGATGTACTGTGACATTATAAAGTGGTATATAGGTAGATATAATAGTAGTCTATAGATGTAAACACATTTAATGTTACATCTGTGATGTTTAAGTTGATTTTGACAGCCCGGGCCAAGTCGGACCCAACACAGACAAAACAGTTCTGATATAGACTATGTTGAGAATGTAGAGGGAAAAGGGCTTCACTTTGAGCACCTTGTTTTCTTTAAGTACAGCGATCTGAGACACTATAAAGTAGTATATAGGTAGATATAATACTAATCTATAGATGTAAATCCATTTGATGATACATCTGTGATGTTTTTGTTGATTTTGACAGCCCGGGCCAAATCGGCCCGAACACTTCTGACAGAGATTTTCTTAAGAAAGTACAGTAAAAGTGTTTGACTTTAAGGGACCAGTTTTCTTTAAATGCGATGTACTGTGACATTATAAAATGGCATATAGGTAGATAAAATATTAAGCTACAGACGTAAACACATTTGATGATACATCTGAGTGTGTAAAGTTGATGTTGACAGCCCGGGCCAAGTCGGACCCAACACAAGCCAAACACTTCTGATAGAGACTATGTTGAGAATGTAGAGGGAAAAGGGCTTCACCTTGAGCACCTTGTTTTCTTTAAATACGATGTACTGTGACATTATAAAGTGGTATATAATTAGATAGAATACTAAGCTACAGATGTAAACACATTTGATGATACATCTGTGTGTTTAAAGTTGATTTTGACAGCCCCGGCCAAGTCTGACCCAACACAGACAAAACAGTTGTTTTAAGCATATTTATTTCACAACTTGTGAACTCGATTGGTAAACGAGCAAAAACCTATTTGAATACCGCTCCAGAATTAGAATACAATATAATATGACAAAAGTACAGTCAAGGAATACAATTATATACATGTTCTTATTATAGAAACTACGTTGTCGGTGCTGTCAGGTCTCATTTTTAGTAGTAATAGTGTACTGGGCCTGTCCTCATTTCGCCTACACCTCATTTCGCCTATACCCTTATCAAAACAAATTTACAGCTGACTGCCCATAAGTCAAGTGCTGTGTTACCTCTAAAATAATGAACTGACCCAAAAGAAGGTTAAACAGACAGGACAATCTTGAAGCTTCATACATTGTTTAATAGCTGATATGTACATTATGCAGTAATAATAATAATGACTCATGATTACTGTAGCTTTGGTACATATCCAACGGCATCAAGAAATTGCATTACAGTTTTTCTTCCACTAAGAAGCTGTGTCTTTCAATTCTTTCGTCCCTTTGCCTGTCAACACGAGCTCGGGGTCTGCATGATCCTCCAAGATCAATTTGTTTCCTGGAGCGCCTGTCTGCCTTTTCAATCTTCTTGATCTCCTTCAAGAACTGATAGATGTTAGGGTGAGATCGGGGCATTCTCTTTTTCAGTCCACAGTGGAACCCTTCCAGATGGTTGTTGGATCGGGGACCGGTGTTGTCGTGCTGGTTCCAAATATGGCAGGGGAATCTAGCGTCGTCATCTACCCATGTGCTGGGGACATAGTCGTTAAAATCATCAATCTGTTGATCATCAGGTCCTTGCTCCATCACCTCAACCCATGCATTCTGTACCTGGTCAAGTGGGAGAAGTGGCAGGGCTGCTGCACGTCGAACATGGGACTGAATTGCTGGATTGTTCGTGTATTCTCTTACAAGACCTCTCTCAACTACCTAACGCCACAAAGCTTGTGAATAGTGAAAGAGACAACCCCTCACATAACTATCAGGAAAAACCTCTGCAATGGCACTTATGACTGCTGACTCGTAATCATCTATTTTTGTTTTATATTAAATTTATCTACTACTTCCGTTCACACAATCTGTTATAAAAACATATTTTATAGTATTTCCCCTCTCAGTTAGTTTCTCATTACTTTACACCAAACTATGGTGACTTTGATTTTATCCTTTCTTCTTATTGTTACCCAATTAATCTGCTTTTTTATTACTATTCTACAACCGACAATTTCGTTCTCAACGCGTGTTAGGGGAATGAACTTTTAGGCAGTAGTGTACATGAACATATAGTTTCTTAATAAATTATTAGCTGTTGTATTATTTAGTACTAACACGGAGAAGCCCATTTATTAAGAGCATATGTCAGTTTAATGTACCGGAAGTTCCCTTACACAAGTCTCAGAGCAAATGCGTTATGCAGTTTCATTGGTCATTACTTGATACCATTTATAACATGGGCCCCAGATCGATGACTATGCAAACATTACTGTGACATCAATAGTGACCATCTAGGTTAATCAGATTTGTTTCTTGTTAACTCAAATCATAATATCACAATAAAATATAAGCAACAATTACCAGTTAACTATATAGACCGATTTTCTGTGGAGTCCTGTATTAATTTGATTATTTTGTATCTGTTATTTGTATCTGGACGCCCGCATACATTCGCCACTCTCTAAAGTGGTGTGTGCAACCCAAGAGGAGGCTTTTAGGGGTTGCTTATATTGAATTTTTGGAATTTTTAAATTTGGAATAAATTAAAGGGAAAATACAGCGGTCAAACGTATATATAAGGATCACTTAAAATCAGTGATGACACCAGGTGTTCGCGAAAAGGGTAAGCCTACCCCGCCCTACCGTTAGCTCCCGCCATTCTCCAAATTTGCTCTAAAAAGTATATGCGTGCTGCCCGACACCGCACAGCAGTACTCAAGCCATGCGACGGTGACAGGTAAACAAACCCGATAATCAAGTGATGGACCCACACTCCAGTCACACGATAGAGAAGTTTTAATGTGTCGGCCCAAACATTTCTTTTATAGTTGTCTCAGCATAACTGATAAATGCTCAGGGTTAGACCACCAGCAGAAAAATCGACCCAGTTCAAATAAAAATAAAACTCCAGAGAATAACCAGTTTCGATTAACCAACGGAATATAAAATCAGCGGTGAAAATCTTATGAGTGGATGACTGAAAGAGCTGAGTGATGACACCTGTTGTTTGCGAAAAAAATCTGTTGTATCAACATTGTACTTATCAAAGCCATGTACGTCTGTCAAAGGTAAAGATGTTTTTAAAAAAGCGTTATTTTTCACTTTTTGTTGTCTCTGATCGGGGTCCAGTCGTCGACAGCTACGGAAATCGCATGCCAGAAACCTATGGTTCCAGGATCGAATCCCGGTTCTTGTGACGATTATGTTTCTCCGTTTGTCAGCATTGTTCACCTAGGTTTAGTGGTTTAGTGGTAAACGTCTAAGACTTGCATCACTTCAGCCAAAAATACCACAAAATGCAGGTTTCGAGAAACCAGCGGTTTTGACACCTCA